GTACGGAGCACTTGAGAGGGGGGGGGGGGGGAGTCTGCCTGTAGTATGTTGTCGATGTCGCCTTGGCGTAACGCAAGCAAAACCACATTTAACATAGCCAGCTGCACCATAATGAGAGAGAGAGAGAGAGAGGTTGAGGAAAGGAAAAGACGCAACCTCTGCAGCCTCAATTGGTAGCACGGCTCAGCTCCTGTAGGGGTGGGATGAGGGTATTTGAGATGTGAAGAGAGAAAACTACTCAAAAGACATTGCTTATGAGTATTCCCACTATGAGCGCATGCTCGCGCCAGGGAGAACAATTTTTCCCCTTGTTCCTCGTCGCCTTGATGAAGAGATTAAAGGGACACTAAAGAAAACAAATTTGATAACTCCTTTCATAACTCCAAAATCACTGCGCTCGCCACGAGAAGGCGCAATGTAGGCGAGAAAACGCGCAAAAAAAAAGGAAAACAAATTCGGGTGGCGACGCCACCTTGAAGATCTTGCAGCAAACGCTGCGACGTCATAAATTTTGACGGCGTTTACTAAGGCATAAGTAGCTATTCGTAGGTAAAACGAAGCACGACGTCCGACGACGGGCCAGAGACTTGACATGGCCCAGTTTCAGAAAATTTCATCATGCCCCCATCGGCAAAAGTACGACAAATACGCTTCAAAAATTCGTGACGTCACGCGAGCACATTTCGGCGCAAAACTTGAAAATGGTACTGCTACCTTGATTTTTCTCCACGAACAAACGAACTTCCGATGGTAAGGTTTAACGACTGCAGAGTTCTCAAGGAACAATCTATCAATCCAAATCAATTGATAGCTATTATTTTAGTCTGCTTTTTAAGTGCGGACATTATTTTTATGGCTATAAAAACACGACACGAACCACGTGTAAAAATTGAAAGAGGGAGCAAGTGAGAAATAGAAAGATAGACAAAGAGAGAGAAAAAAATCAGGAAGAAAAATATAAATAAGAAAGAAATAATTAGAGACAAGAATAAATGAAAGGAGGAAAGAAAAAGTCAACCGAAGAGAAACAAAGAAAGTTGCCCAGCTCCAGACTGTCTTCAGGATTGGCGCCCATAGTGCGAAGCTGACTTTTTTTTAAATCATCCTTGTGCGGAGTCAATAGCGTTGATCATCATCATCGTCCGCCTGACTGCGCCCACTTCAGGGCAAAGGCCTCTCCTATGACCCGCCAATCAACCCGGTCTCGTGCTTTCCGTTGACAACTGCGAACTTTTTAATCTCATCGGCCCTCCAAACCTTCTGTCTCCCCTTCGTGCATTTACCTTCTCTGGGAATTCAGCCAGTTACCCTAAATGACCAGCGGTTATCCTGCATACGTGCAACGTGCCCGGCCCGTGTTCATTTCTTTTTCTTGATTTCAACTATGATACCATTGACCCAGGTTTGTTCACTGACCCGCTCTGCTCTCTTTTTGTCTCTTAAGGTTACACCTATCATTTTCCTTTCCATCGCTCGCTGTTTCGTCCTCGATTGAAGCTGAACCCTCTTTGTAAGCCTTCATGTTTCTGCTCCGTAGGTAAGTACCGGAAAGATGCAGATGTTATATTCCTTCCTCCTGAGAGATAGCGGCAATCTACCAGTCGATTTGAGAATGCTTGCTGAATGTGTTACACCCCATTCTTATTCTAGTTACTTCAATCTCGCGGTTCGGCTTCTATGTTACTACCTGCCCTAAGTAGACATTTTTTTACAACTTCCAGCATCTCTACCTACACCTATCGCTGTTTTATGCCGTGTTGCACATTAGTTTTGTGCACAATATTTTTTAGACCTACTCTTCTACTTCCCGTGTCCAGTTCAGTAATCATGAGCTGTAATTCGTCCCCTGAATTACTCATCAAGGCAATGTAATCAGCGAATTGCAGGTTACTAAGCTACTCTCCATTAACTCTCATTCCTAACTCTTTCCAATGCAGAGCCCTGAATACCTTCTGTAAACACGCGATGAAGAGCATTAGAGAGATCGTATCTCTTTATTGGGATTTTGTCGCCTTCTTTATAGAGAACTTTGGTGGCTGTGTATCCACTGTAGATTTCTTCCAGTATGTTGATGTAGGGTTCTTTGATGCCCTGATTTCGTAGTGGTTGAATTACTGCTGATGCCTCGACCGAGTCAAACGCCTTCTCGCAATCTATGAAGGCTATGTATAGACATTTCTCTATTATCTGGTTGTAGTATGAACATGGCCTATGGTGGAGTTGCCTGTACGAAATCCTCCTTTTCCATTAGCTATTATTTTTGTAAACTGTTTGTAGAAAACGAACAGTACGCGGCGGCCAGTCTTCTTTCTTATAGATTAAGATTATGTTGGCGTTCTTGAAAGATTCTGGTAACCTTTCCATGAAGAGACACTTCGTATATAAAATGGCAAAGTTTTTCCAACACAATTTCTCCACCATCTTTCAGGAGGCCCGTTGTTACTTTATCCTCACTAGCAGCTTCGGCTCTTTGCATTCCTTTTAGGGTTTTTCTTATTTCTCTTGTCGTTACTGGTAGGATGTCGAATCCTTCTGGACTATTATTGTTCCTCCCGATAACATCCTGGTTGTTTTGGCTTCTGTACAGCTCTCTGTAGAACTCCTCCACCACCTCGACCATCCTATACGTATTGGTCATGACACTGCCTTCCTTGTTTCAATGCATGCATCTGATTTTTGCCTATGCACAAATCTGCCTTCGCAGCTCTTAAGCTTCTGCCTCTTTTTACAGGCTGCTCAATTATTTCCATGTTATACCTCCCGATGTCGGCTACTTTACGCCTATTGATTAATTTCGAAAGCTCCACTAGCTCTATTTGGTCAGTTGCATTTGAGGCTGTCATCGTTTGTCGTCTCTTGATGAGATTTTTCGTCTCCTGGGATAGTTTGCCAGTGTCTTTTTTATGTCTGTACTGCTGCCTTACATTGCACAGTCTTTGATGATACTAGTAAGATTATAGTTCCCTGTGTCAACGCAAACATCGGTTATCACGTTGGGTTAATTGCATTAAAGTCGAAAATAAAATGTGGTGTACGGCGCTATAAATTGTGAGTGCTTTACAGCTCTATACGCACTATGGTATAGGAGCACCATGAGCTGTCCCAGTTTCGCATTTCAGGCCAACAGTAGTCCTAACGGGGAAAGTACACGGTGGTTATGTGATTAAAAGAAATGCTCGACAATTACGAGTACGATGTACTCATTTACGGCAAGGCTTATGTATAAGCAGTTCCCAGCTGGTCTGTGTGACAGTGTGTTCAAAAAAATCGGTTCGGGTTGAAACGGTTTAATCTTTACGTCAACGGTCGCAACTGAGGAGGCGAGACGCATTTCTGATTTTCTGTAACGTGCTATGATGCGCCGGTTAAAGAGTGCGCCTGATTAAATTTATTCCGCTTGTTTAGGCTAAAACTTGAGCGAAGAATCTGCCAGGGGATTTATACACCTACACCGCATTTAGCCTTTATGTGAGCACACACATCTTGTGCTTATTGAACACAGTGACATTCATCGTTTTTTTTATTTATTCAATAAAAAGTTTCAAATGCATGAATGTTTGTTTGAAAAGCGGCGTTGACATCATGTGAGCGAAATTACGCTGTACAACGACCGTCACTGAAGGAATGACAGTTTTCACGCCACTGGTACTCGAAGTTGCAAGCATTGGAATAACTGCACTTGCCACAATCACTAAATGAAGTTTTGCATTTTGACTGCTGCAGCTCCTACCCGATCACTGCGAGGGTTCGCTGCATTTCAAAAGCTACTCGCCCACTGGGCATACAAGTTTCCTAATACAAACTATTCAACAAGTTGCCTGACCCACATGGCGACGTTCAAAACTAACTCTAAACAATGTATACACTGAAATAGTGAACGTACAAGTCTTCTTACGCAGGCCAGACTGTCAGACTTCGCCAACAACGCTGTCAGAAAGAAGACCACGAAGTCAGAATTCTTTAAAAACACTGACGGTCAAAACACTACAAACACACTGAAAGGAAGGGACGACAACACACGAGCATGTGTTGTCTAATTGGGTTGGTATGTTTTTTCGCGCCTTATAGCATCCTATCAAGAGGCCTATGGAAGCAAACAGACTAAACGACATGTTTATTAGAGCACGAAGCGGCGTATAAATTTAAGAAATTTTATATTCATGATATTTTATACATAGGCTGCCTTATTAGCCGTTGAGTGTATGCACGAGTCACAGATTAAAACTCATTTCATCTCTATTTTATCAAGAACACGACGACTTAGATGCGGAGGAAGAGGGGTTCGGAGGGGGTTTCTAACCCGGATTTTTAAATACAGAACCGCTTTCAAGATTTCCTACGTGGTAGCGAAATAAAATCAACGAAACGGTGGGCGCTATTGCAGCACACGAACTAAAGAACGACTTCAATGCGTTCATGTGAACACTTTTGCTGCGCATACGAACTCAAAACAGTAAATTATTTTCCGTGAACATATTCGGTCCTGTACATTTTCGAATTATTATCGAACAGCCGCTGAATTGCTTCCAATTGCTTCTACATTTCAGCCACTCGGAACAGCGGTCGTTCTGAAAAACCTTCCCGTACGTACTTGCTAGACCGATTATTTAATAACCATTCGGTATACATCGACGGCTGACTGACCCTACGGCGAACAACGAGCACAGAAAACAACGAAGGTGACAGCGACGAGCAGGACTACAACAACGACGACTGTGACGACAACAACGTCCGACCACGACGGGCGTCGAATGCGTCGAAGAGCTGCGCGGCCCGGTTCCACGTGTTGGGAACACATGCAAGCCTTTGTTAGATGCTTCTATCTTTTATAACCGGGCGATGGGTTCTAAAAAAAGCTAGTCACGAAGCCCGCCTCAAAGGCTACAAAATGGGTTTATCGGTGGATAATTAAAGCATACGTTTCTATTATAGGCAGCTATAGTATAACGCGCGGGCAGCTAGTATAACACGCGGCAGAAGAACGGAAGCGAAGAACTTACCACGTGCTCGTTCAATGCTGGCGCGTTCCACTCTGGCTGATCACCCCTCCGCATGCCCGGTCGGCGGCTGTATTTCGGAAGGTTCAAAAGCCGCTTCCGGTGACGCCGCGGAAATTGGCAGTCTTAGATAGCTGATCGCACACCCTCCTCCACTGCGTTTTCTTTTCTTTTTTTACAACCGCGCGAAAGACACACTTTGACGCGCTGCGAGCGTCAATTCTACCCGACTCGTCTCGCCGGGCGTCGAAGCGCAATAAAAACCACGGACGAGGCCAACAACGTGTGCCGAGGAAACTAATCGGTACACACGCTCGGCTAAAAGCGGTGGATAGCGGCGGCGCGATGAAGCCGATAACGGCGGCGAAGATAATCGACAGCAGGCCAAGTGTTGATTGCAGCCCCCGTCGACCTGCGTGGAGCAACAGGAGCGCCGATATGTTGGTGGGCAGGGCAGCACGTGGTGTACAAGTTATCGGCGACACGGTTCCGCGAGACGTACTGCCACTGGAGCGTTCGGACGTAAGACAGAATAGCGTTTGTAGCGTACGCTATTTATGCACGATGCGCAGTTTTAATAATGGGGAGTTTTAAAATATCGTTTGCAAGCGCTGTGGCCGTTGCAGGCGCCATATGAGTTTTAGAATAGCGTTTGCCCTGCTGCACCGCAACACACGATCGCAGAGACCGTAGCCTGGAAACCAGCGCTTGCGGGTCACGTTCGGGCCGCGATCGCCGCACGCAATTTCGTATTTTCTACGTGCGGTCCGCGAACGCCGACTCGCGTTACGACGCATGCGCAGTGGCAGCGATCGCACCGCAAAGGCTCGCGGTGCGCTATTCTAAAACTCCCTAATACTATCGTCGGTGTTTTTCGTTCCAATACCGCGATATGCTCATGAGAGATGCTGTAATGGATTGATTGATCCACTAATATGTGAGGTTTAACTCCCCAAAACCACTTTATGATCATGAGAGACGCCGTAGTGGAGGGCTCCGGAAATTCCGACCACCAGGGATTCTTTAACGTGCACCCAAATCTGAGCACACGGGCCTACAACATTCCCGCCTCCATCGGAAATGCAGCCGCCGCAGCCGGGATTCGATCCCGCGACCTGCGGGTCGGCAGCCGAGTACATTAGCCACTAGAACACCGCGGCGGGGCAACGCCGTTATGGATGGCTCCGGAAAATTTTGACCCTCTGGTGTTCTTTAACGCACGTGCACTGACAACACACAGTACACGGGCCTCTATACCATTTCGGCTCTATCGAAAAATTCGTTTATTCGGCTGCTGACCCGCAGGTCGCGGGATCGAATCCCGGCTGCGGCGGCTGCGTTTCCGATGGAGGCGGAAATGTTGTAGGCCCGTGTGCTCAGACTTGGGTGCACGTTAAAAAACCCCCAGGCGTTCGAAATTTCCGGAGCCCTCCACTACGGCGTCTCTCATGATCATACAGTGGTTTTTGGGACGTTAAACCTCACATATCATCAATCAATCGAAATGCGACCACCGCGTCCGGGATCGAACCCGCGAACTTCGGATACTTCGAGTCAGCAGCCGAGAACCCTACCTAGCCACTGGTCCACGTCGGAGGCAGACGATGCGCGATTTTCCTAAATTAGCCTGCACAACCAACGGGTCATCGCATGACGTATGTGCAGTGGCGATATGAATGCTAACGTAAAGAGAGAGAGAGGGGGGGTTATTAGAGGATAAAAGCTGAGAGGTCGGTCTGAATCAAATTTCTGACTTGCTATTCAGCGTTATGAAAGGGAAAGGGACGGTAAAGAAAGTAGAGAGAAGATGCTGATGAGGATGAATGTGGTGACGGATCGAAACCTTGAATACGCCAAATGTTAATTACAGTCTCTTTTTTTAGTTCTGTCTCACACAGAAGCTTGTCGAGAGCTTCGAAAATATCACACTGATAACGACGTGTAACCCCCACCCCCCTAAAATGTTTTTCCTGGTAGCTAACCTAAACTTTTACATTACTGCCTGTAATAATTTTCATTAGCATTGCTGCTTTTCTATGCACGCTTGAACATAGCTGGCCATGGCCGCTAAGAGGCGTCATGTAAGTGGCAAATGCGCGTTGACTATCGCATAGTTCAGCGCCGCACGTTCTTCGGTGCCGCAGGTCAACGTGACGTCACCGAGAACTCTTGAATATCTGCCAAACATCTTGTTTTAGCTCATGTATGCACTGCGTGAAGCGTCCACTCATTCTGATTCGTCATTCGGTGCTGTCGCACTTGAAGAGGAAATTCATACCAAAAGAGATAAATAGGGCTGTGTTTACCCCAATATCGCGCAACAATACCCCCCCCCCCCCCCATTTTTTTTACTCATTTTTGGGGAAAAGGCTAGCAACGAAGGCTGCACAGAGCTTTGGGAACAATAATGCCTGCCATATAACCCACCAAAATTCAACCTACGCTCGTCGCCCACCCAGCTATCCACACAGACACACGCTCACGCACACACAAACGTGTTCGTATGGAACTTCCGGTCGCCGTCACATGCAGGACAGTCACGTGGCGTTAAACGTCACATATGACATCATAGTGCTGCACGTAGCTATCGATTCTTGTTCTAGTAGTAGTGATCTATCGGCAGAATAGTGATAGTTCCGATGCCAAGCGGTAGACCCGCAACCAAAGAAAAGGTCCTGCCCCCTCCCCCATCTCGAAATTTGTATGAAAGGAAGTGTTTAACCTAAGACAAATAATACAAATAGGTGTTTTTCAAGGATTTCAACAAGTCGAAAAAAAAAACACACCAACGAGTCGAAAAACCTACAAATGCAAAAAAAAAAAAAGCACCACAGAAAACTTTTTGGCTACACTCTAAGAAATAATGGAGTATTCGGGGAGTGGTTCTGCTACGAAACAATAATCCTCATCAGGCCGCCCCGCCGCGGTGGTCTAGTGGCTAAGGTACTCGGCTGCTGACCCGCAGGTCACGCGATCAAATCCCGGCTGCGGCATTTCCGATGGAGGCGGAAATGCTGTACGCCCGTGTGGTCAGATTTGGGTGCACGTTAAGGAACCCCAGGTGGTCGAAATTTCCGGAGCCCTCCACTACGGCGTCTCTCATAATCGCATGGTAGTTTTGGGACATTAAACCCCACATATCAATCAATCGTGATCAGGCCGATCTGACTTGCTCGCGTTTCCTTTCTTGGAAACCCGGCGCTCGCCACTTAGCCGCCAAAAAATCGTGGCCGCGAACTTCCAGAACCGTGCACTATAACGCAAGATAAGTACTCGTAGATGACGATTATAGTTTTGTGGCAGAAACACTCCCGAAATACTCGATTTTGTTTTTCTTCTTAGAGTGTACGGGTCGGCGACACGACACGGGCGAAATTACCGACACTGGCTGTCGAGCGATGCTTACGCAACACCAATCAGAACAGGCCTCTCGCGTTCGTTCAAATTTTGGCGGCGCTATGACGTCACACCTGACGTTTCTTCTCGGGTAACGTGACTCTCCCGCGTGCGACAGCGACCGGAAGCCCTTCGTGACGCTTCAGGGTGTGGAAGCATGACGCACTCACACATACGGTCCGCTGAATCACAGTCGCGCTATCGCGACACAATACCCATTCCTTTTTGATGAACAAAGGAAACGCTGATACTATAGAAGTGTGGCAGCTTGGGCTAGTTGGTACGACATGACGATAGTTATAGCGCGAGAACAGAACGACGACACAGAGACAAGGACTATCATTATTCTAAGGAAACTGTGAAAGACCTCGCCTAAGTTACTGCTCGGCAGAGAGAGAGAGAGAGAGAGAGACAGTCAAAAGCGTCGTAATTGCAGAATAGTCGTTGGAGTGCACATAATTCCCCTTCAGGGGGGAGGGAAAGGTTCGTCGCAGCACCCCCTCCCTATTATGTCTATGTGTGAGGCTAACTTTGCCCCCCCCCCCCCCCGCCTTCCCTAAACGCGATAGCGTTAAATAGCTCGTTTCGCGGAAATTCCAGCATCGGCCTCGTTGGTTGTGACCGAAAAAAATCATGTGCGTAACCAAAGAATAGAGAAATTGCTAATAAAATAAATCATAAAAAATTACGGGTCCGAGTGAGGTTCGAACACGAGTTGTTTGCGTGGCAGGCTGGTATTCTAATACACCGTCATGCGCCTACTTGGAAATTCAGCGAAGATATCTTCCTCTGCTTTGAATTAGAGTGAAAATAACTCGTGCTTAACACACACACACACGCGCGCGCGCGCTTCTTGTATGCATGTTTCACAATAGAGTATGTAATATCGCAGTAACAATGCGTGGTACAAGTGTAACTTGCCATCGGAAGTCGGAACATGTGATTATCATAGTGAATTCACGGTTTAAAGCCGGCCAGCCACTACAAAAGGCGCGCACATAGAGAAACATACTAAATAAAGAGTGGCCACTCGAGCCTTTTCGCGGCCCAGCAAGATAGGCTCTTACCAACCACTAGATGGCGCGCCCATGCTCGCTTCTACTCTTCTTTCACGGCATATAATAGCCACCTCAGCAGGTCAATGAAAACATACGTTTGGCATCAAATTTTTGCAAATAAGAAACTTTATTGAATTGTGCAATTTTCCATATCCGCTTTACAACGTGTCCCATTGGGGACGTTTAATGCTTTACCACAAAAATCACTAAAGTTTGACTAGAAAGTGTTGTTTATCTGCATTTATTTTGCAAAAAGGGTACAAATTTATGTGGTTTAGCTGTGCTGTAGATGTATTCCTTTCGAGCACGAATGGGTGTGTAGCCTAGCAAAATAAAGAAAAAAAAAGGGTGTGTAGCCTAGTGGTAAAGACACTCGTTCTCGGAGCATGAGGGTATACGGGTTCAAATTGCAGCATCGAAAGAAAAAGTTTTCTTAGTTTATTTATAAAAAAAGACATTTTCGCGTCTGACCAGCCACTCGTGGCGCAAGCAGCGTAGTAGCTGGGCCGCAGGGCCCTACTGGAGTGTCCACTCTTTATTATGTAAGTACGTTTCTATATGGCACACACGTTATGGCGCCTATTCCCATAAAGCCACGTAGTGGGTGCATAGCAAGTTCAAAAAGGTTTAAAGCACGCTATGGATTACACAGAATGCAGCCATATGCGAAAGCTTCACTGACACAAGACACTTTAAACTTTATGGA